TGGCATTCAAGGCCAACTATATTCCAGCCTCAAATTTCTATGGTGCCTGTTGTATACCACGGTGGGCCTGTTATAGACACTAGGAGCCCAGGCTTGAGGCCATATCAACCTAAGTTTAGATTTGGCTCAGCCATTTACTAATTGTTTGACTTTGGCAAAGCTCAGAGTTTTTCTCAGTTCCTATAAAGTAGGGATAATAATTGCCCTCTGGGGTAATAACGGATTCATGTACGTGACATCCGTGAGGCAGGATCACAGTGCCTGAGGCCTGCATGGCTGTTCGCACTTGCTGATCTGGTTGTGATGCAGCTGATCTGGTTGAGTCTTACAGTTGCTGTCACCTCCACAGGTGGCGACAGTCATCCCTCGCCTCTGCTTCCAGCCTATATGACACGTCAAGCCACTTCACCTCTCTATGCCTCAGTCCCCTCATCTGTAAAGAGAAGTAGTTGGGAGAATTAAATTGGTTACTATGCAACAATGTCTGGCCCAAGGGTAAATGCTGGAAATATGCCAGATCTTGTTCTTGTTCTCAAACAGCCGTGAAGGCATCTTCCTCTCCCTTGGTCTGCACCCTTCTGTGGTCCAGCACCCCACTCCCATCTCTACCATCCGTCTAGTGTGGATTCTTAGTTTTCTTTGCGCTGTGGGTGAAGTCTATTCACCTCTTGCCAGGACAACATTATGAAGTCCATACTGTGAAGCCCGTCATGTACCAAGAAAACCAGTATTCACTGAAAAATAATCAACAAAGTCAAAATACCACATTTGTGATCACCTGGCTACTTTTCTAAAAGACTTGTTAAACAACAAGACCTGCCAATTACTGTCATTTCAAAGGAGTGAGGAGCATAAATAAAATTTCTGTCATCTGTAGTATTGTACCATGACATGAAAATACCTGTCATTTCCACTGGTGACAGAATCACAGTGTCGGCCAATATGACTCTGTGCGTGGCCTAAAGCAGCATTGGAAAAAATGCCCAGTGTCACATCAATTGGTGAAAATAAAGATGCAATAGTTTTCCCACCCAGGTTCACAGCTCCATCCAGAGATCTGTAGAGTTCCTGTTAAGAGATCTCTGTCCTCGCCAGATCGTACACAGTCTCACAACTGGAGTGGGCTCTCCTCTCCTATCCGTGTGTGGCCCTGTCTTCCTTAAAGACCTGTTTAGTTTTCATTCATTTCCCCTGCTGTGTTGCTATTCCCAATACCCCGTGTCCTGCAGTCATCACGCTGGTGCAGTGTCTGTGACCAGCGCAGCCCTGGCTGGATAGTGATGGGAGGATGCAGCAGGCAGCCAGTGCTTACCTCTCCCTCCCTGTCTGCCTTTGCAACATCAAGTCCAGCAGGTCTGAGAAAGGATCCATTTTCATTTTGGTGCTGTTGACTGTGCCAGTTGATCTGCTGGACTGACAGATCGTGCCTCTGAAAGGCGTTTTCTAATCCCATAGGCAGCCCTTGCTTAGTGGCTATTAATATGCCAGGCTCTCGGAGTCTAGGCAAATACCCTGATATTTTAGCTCAGTTATTCTGACAACAGCAGGTTTTGCCTTATGGAGTGCATATGTCACCCAGAGCATCAACTTCCCGCCTGTGAGTTATCATGGTGAAACTTGAAATGCAAATGATGTGCCTTGGTGCTCTTTGCAAATCTTTGCTTGCACCTGGCACTCATCTTTCCCGTGAAGACAGAGAAATGAGGGGGGAGGCAGAGGGAAGAAGGAAGGAAGGAAAAGATGGAGGAAAGAAGGGAGAAGATTAGCTTTATTTTCTGTCTTGCCTGGTGCCCAGCACTGAGCAGACCATAAACTTTCTTGAAATCCCCCTGCCCCCCTTACACAAATCATTTGATTTCCATTTTGAATATTCTGGAATCAGAAAAGACTTAAGAATCAAAGGTTTAATAAAAATAGGTCAGGGCAGATTAGTATTTTGGAGCAGCAGCAGCACAGGGCAAGGAGGGCAGGACGTGAGGAAGGGATCTGTGTGGAGAGTGGCTGTCAGCTCCAGAGGTGCTGCAGCCTGATGTTGAAACCCAGTGGGAATGTGTCTGGAGATAGGGCTTCGGGGAGATGGTTAGGATTAGATAACGTCATGGGATGGGGTCCTTGGGATAGGATCGGCACCTTATAAGAAGAGACCGGCAGAGATCCTGCGCTTTCCCTCCCACCTCCCCTCTCCTCATTCTGAGGACTCAGTAAGAAGGAAGCCATCTGGAGAAAGGAATAGAAGTCTCACCAGCCCCTGGGCATTCTTGGTAACTTGATTTCAGACTTCCAGATATCACAATGGTAAGAAAACAAATTTCTGCTGTTGAAGTCACTCCATCTAGGGGGTTTTGTTGTGGCAACATGAGCTAATTAATATAAGTCTCAGCAAATAGAGGATATCAATAAAGGGGTATTAATTATTTAAAGCAAGGACACAAATAGAAATTTGCATTTGAACAGCGTAATAATGGGAATAAAAATATGTTAGAGGGATTTCACAGGAGTTTTGAGTAGGGCAAAAAGAACCAGTAACTTCAATAACTTGAAGTTTCATTATTTGATCTGTCTAAAAACAGAAAGATTAAAAATGTGAAGAAAAATAAGGAAGGTCTATGAAACTTGTGAGTGATTATGAAGCAAATCAACATACTCTTGGGAGGGGTGAAAAAAATCATATTCTTAATAAGAGTTTTAAAAAGAAAGGAGAGATAGGAAATTCAAAGATATTTGAAGGAAAAATGATTGATATTTGATAAACAAAAACCCACAGGTCAAAGGAACTCTGATTTTGAGTAGGATAAACTGAAAGAGTTATCTAGACACATCATAACAAAAAAGTCAATCAAAAGTAAAGAGAGGGCCTCCCCAGTGGTGCAGCAGTTGAGCGCTGGGTTGCGAAGCTGCCCGCAGCCTCTGCAGCACCAGTTCGATCCCTGGCCGCTGGGCGAGGGTCCCACATGGTGCACAGACCTCTCCTGCCACTTGCTGCTCCCCTCAGCAGTGTACTTCGGTCCTTCTGCCTGTTCTGCTCCCCGCTCTGGCTCTGGTGAATTCTCTCACCCTCCCGCGCTTCTGACTGTACCCAGTGCTTGTATAAATAAATAAATGAATCTTTAAAAAAAAAGTAAAGAGACAGTTTTGAAAAAAGCTATAAAAGGAAAACAAAAAGGAAAAGAAAGAAAAAAAAAGCAAATCATCATGTTCAAGGGTCCTGCAATTAAAGCTGATTTCTGATCCAAAAGCATGGAAGCCACAGGGAGCATGACATGTTCAGTAGAGTGAAAGAAAAAGACGAATAAGAATTCTATATCCAGCAAAACTATCTATCAAAGATGAAGGGGAAATAAGATGTTTCCCAGCAAAGAAAATCTGAGACAATTTGTTGTAAGTCCTTCAAGCTGAAATGAAATTACCATAGGGAATAATTTAAATCAACATAAAGGAATAAAATACACCAGCAAAGTTTACAAAAGTAATTCCAAGAGACAGTATAAATGTAGATTTTATTTGGAAGTTTTTTTCAGTTCATAATTTAAAGACAGTTACATAAAACAATGCTTACAAAATTTTGTCGATCTCTGTGCACTTTATTATTATTTTGAAAGATTTATTTTTAGCTATTTATACATACAAAATCTGGGGTACAGGCCAGAATTGTGGGGGTGAGAGGATTCACCAGAGCATAGTGGGGAACAGGTGGACTGACTGAAGTACACTTCTGAGGGGAGCAGCGGGCTAGTCGGGAGAGGTCTGCTGCGCCACGTGGGTCAGCTCCCTGGCCAGGGATTGAACTCCTGTTGCAGTGGCTGCTGATAGCTTCATAGTGCTGTGACTTAACCCCTTGTGCCACCAGGGAGACCCATCACTATGTACTTTATAAAGATGTGATTTGTATCACAATAACAGCATGAAAGAAGGGTGAGAAATAGTGCTATGTAAGAGCAAAATTTTTGTTAATTATTTAAGTTAAGTTGTATTAGTCTGAGCTAGACTGTTTTATATATATATATATCACTCTTACAACTCAGAAATAAAAAAAACAAATGCTTAATTAAAATTTGGATACTGGGTTAAATAGAAATTCTCCAAACTAGCCAAAAAAAAAAAAAACACACATGAAAGATGTTCAACATTAATAATTGTTAGTAAATTTCAAACGAACAAATCACAATGAGATACTATTTCACATACACTAAGATGGATAAAAAGGGGACACAGTAACTAATGCTAGTGAGAAGGTTGAGAAGTTGAGACCCTCATAATTTACTCCTGGGAACGTAAAGTGGTCAACCACTTTGGCAATCAGTCTGACATACTGTATCCTCTCAAGCAACTCTTCAGTGGAGGAGATAGATATTAATCAGGGATGACACAAGCAAATGTAAAATTATGAGTATGAAAGTCTCTGTGATGGAGAGGCATTTGGAACAGTAAGGGGATATAAAGTGTGTCCTTGACCCACTCTTTTCTAAGAAAGGAGCCCTTGAGATGAAATTTAGATGAGTAGTCTGAGGAAAAGGAGAAGAGCATGCCAGGCTAGAGATATAGGATGCGCAAAGGCCCTGGAACAGGAGGAAACCCAGTGTGAAGGAGAAACTGGCAGTCCACAGAAAGTGAGGGGAAGCCAGGTGTGAGTTGAGAGTGGGCCAGTAGAGACATTATTCTTTGTACCTGCAACAAGAGCCATCACCTGTTAGGAATGTAGAATCCCTGCCTCTACCCCAGGCCTCTGGTATTAAAGTCTGCATTTAGCAAGTACCCAGGTGATTTGTAGGGGCAAAGTTTCAGTTGCATAATCTATGCCCGGTGTCCACTTACTGGCCTGCAGGTCCAACCCTCCACTGCCTGTGTGTGCCTGGAATCCTGTTGGCTCGTAGCTCTGCCTGTTCATTGACCAGTTGTCCGTGGCCACTTTTATGCTACAGTGACAGAACGGGGACATTGCCCTGGAAATTGGCCTCAATTCCATGGGCAGGAGAAACTAGTTATGGTTTTCATCTTGGCAGGTTCTCTCTGGCTGCAGGGACGTGAGGTGCTGAGAAGACATACCCTGGAGGAGCTCAGAGTTCAGAGGCGACTCACTTTTATCCTCCAAAATGGTGGTTCACCCCATTTGTGGGGGAGATGTCATCATCATTACCTCCTTCTTATTTGTAACGAAACACTTCAGTGCCTGGCAGAGGGCTCGTCCTCACCCAGTACTTGCAGCCTTCTAGTAACTTGGTAAGTAGCTTGGACTTAGACCTGTTAATGTTTTCTGCCCCTCGAGACTTCTTGTTGGACACGCCAGGTGTCAGGATGCTACGATGCCTGATCTGCATGCAGCAGTGTCCTGTTCTTGGCCTGAACTTGGGACGGTAGAAGCCAAGTCCTTGGCTTCCTAGTGAGTTCCAGGACAGCCTGGAGAAACAGGAATCGGATCCAGTTCCCAGCATGGATAGGACTGTAGGAAGAAGCCTCTCGAAGGTGCATATTTTCCTTCTGTGTCACGAGGAAGCTGGACCCTTTATCCTTAGCTGGGACTCTTGATCTTTAAGGTTCTCTGAGGTTTTTGTCCTTGAGTGGTACAAGGTGACCAAGTGGGGACTCTAGCCAAGTCTCTGGCTTATCCGAATCAGCTCTCTGCATCTTTATTTCATCTAAATGGAGCTCTTCACCCATCATGCATAAACCGTAGTTGATGAGAACACTGGGGAAAAAAAAGAATTCCACAGTGACAAAAGAGGTCTTTGAATTATGCATTGTTTCCGATTTTACATACTTCTGCTCCCTCCCTGTCATCTGTAGAGATAATAGAACATTACTGGCTCGGCTGTAATGAGCGCAACCTTTCCTACCAATTAGGTGTGATTGTGTACACTCTGGTCACACTGCTGGATGGCTAGCTTTTCCTGTCATGAGTTGGCAGCAGTTGAATAAGCAGAATATTCAGGGAGAGAAGTTGGATGTGTATAAACTCATCATGGCAAATGGATATGCCGTCAAACCCACTGTGCGATCAGAAGAAAACGCTTTGGGAAAGTGGTAGCTGGTAGTTTCTGGAAGAGGCTGCAACTTGGTGTATATAGAACGAGGGAAATGCTGTGAGGATAATAAGTTGCTTTGAACACAGATAGATTTTCAGCAGTGTTGCCATCTTCTGGGCAATCTGCCTGCTGCAGAAGTGTTGATTCAGTGCATAAAAGAGCAGTTAGCTGGCTTAGTGGGCTGTCTGATGGGGAGCACGGAAGTAGGGGCAATAGTGTGATGTCAACTCGAACATCTTGTGGAAGTCATTGCTTAGAATTACCTCTATTTATTGCCGTCGATGGTGCTCAGTTAAAACAATATTTTGTCAAGTCATCCTATTTGAGATGCTGAGGAAAAGAGAGAAGCCATCCAGCTCCGTGGGAGTGTGACTGCAGCCTCGCAGGTGCTCACCCTTAATAGACCCTGTGTTTGGTTTGATGCTCTGCGGTGGCCATCTTGAAATTCTTAATAGGTTTTGGAAAACCCTGCACTTTCATTTTCATTGGGTTCTGCACATTATGAGCTTGTTCCATTAAGAAGTTGGCAAGGTCTGCTTCTTGCCTCTAGGAGCTTCCAATAATGTGCCTAGAATCCTACTGGGACAGTAATGGAGGGACTTGATGAATTGTCCTGGGCCTTGGCTCCTTCCCTTTGTGTGAAGAGATCACATGGGCTGTGCTCTGAGGAGAGAAACCAGCGGCCTGAACTACTAAAGTGCTTTTCCCGTGAGAGCGGATGGCCCAGGGCTTCGGGGACACCTCACTTGCTGTCCAGGGAGCAGGGACTGGGCTAGTGAGGCTCATTGATGAGTTCAAGGTGTGACTGGGTCCAGGGGTAGTGGCATCTGACCTCCACTCACTGGGGACTCAAGAACAGCAGGGGGTGGGGGCACAGTACCCAGTGGAATGTAGCTGGAGATATTGGCAAGTCTAACTGGAATATTCATCGAAATGGGAGCCAGATGAACAGGCCAGTCACAAGTCAGAGGCTCAACCCCACATTAAAAACTCCCCATTTCAGATGTCAGACTCGATCAGACCTTTGAAAAGTAGGATGATGCTTTCTCCACGGGATAGGTAAGACCTGCCTGGAATGTCTAGCCAGGACTGAGTATCTGTACCTGTTTCGAAGAAAACTTAAAAAAAAAATATTCATAGTTCAACATCAATTTATGTCAGGCATTTGACCAAGTACTTCCAAGTTTTGCCACCACTGAGTTATAAACTCTGGGTTTTTAGAGAGTCTGGATTTTGAATTGTGGGTAGCGATTGTAGTCCTGCTTCAGGTAAGGTTCAGGTACTGGGGTGATGAGAATGGGGGAGCAGAGAGAGGTCAGTGATTTCTCAGGAGACATCAGCGCCTGGATGCCTTCCATGGTTGTCGGGAGGCCTGGCCTCATTCTGTCCACCCCAAGACACAGACATCCTCCTAGCTGAAGCCAACAGGGACCCCTACCAAGCCGTGAGCTTCCAACCTCAGCATCACCCTTAAGAACCTGCTGCCTTTTTCCCACGGCTGCAGTTTGAAGCCGCTTCAAACACGTGGTTTCTCTGTTTTTGGAATGAAAAATGTGCTGTGGGAACAGGCCGTCCTAGGACTCATCTGTCCTTCCTGTTGCCTTCCAGGCGGTCTCATGGCAGCTCTCTCGCAGAGATGCTGTGGCGCTTGGCCAAAGAGCCAGCCTCGTATTAGTGCCCTTCTGAGCACAGACCAAGGGAAGCCAAGGAGACAGGCTGATGTTTATGTGGCATTTTCTCCGGGGAACATAGCGGTGAACCCCATCCAGGTTTCCTGTGGGCTGCGTCCCTCACTTGCAGCTTTGCTTGGGCCATAAAATTGATCCAGTAGAAGCTGTCAAAGATCAAGCAGAAAAAAATCCTATTCTTTTTTGTTTTGTGGGGAGAATGGTTCTCAAAGTGTTATCTCTGAGCCAGCAGCTGAGCAGGACCTGAAGGCTGTCAAAAATATCAATTCTTAGGTCTCACCCAGATACACTAAATTGGGAACTGGGGCTGGCAATCTGTGATTTGGTGGTAAGCTAAAGTCTGAGAACCCCGGTATTAGAGAAATGATTTTCTTTTTCATGTGTGTCAAATTCCATTTTTGTTTAAGAAATGTTACCTATTCAAAATCCTTAGTTCCTGAGACCCCACAGAGCTAGATTGTTGTGGTTCACTTCTCATCAATGAGGGCTAGGCAGAAGGTTATTGGGTGGGTGCAACATCTTCACAGGGGTGGGTAATTAAAGAAACCTTAAGACTATATATATAGTATACTATACATGTAAACTACATATGTCGTTTATCATATATATGGAATTAGATTATATGATAGACACTACATAGATTTTCCATTGCTAGCCAATTCATTTATTATACATCTATCAAATACATGCCCACAGGTTAGACGTTTAAGGATATATGTGTATGGCTTCATGTGCACACTTATCTCTAATAAAAAAAATAAGGTGCAGGTGGTGAGAGAGAAGTACAGGCTGACCCCAGGGAGTCCTGAGACCTCCAGGCACAGTGTTTCCATGTCAGAGAAAATACTTCCCAGCATATCCTAACCTACCAAGATCCACACCAACCAGCTTGTTGTCAGGGGACCACGGCTCATGTTTCCTGAAGGGCCTTTTATACCCTACTGGAGTAACCCAGGCTGTAACAGGTGAGCCAAACACAGACTTCCAACACGTACCTTTTATTAAACAATGTGCACAAGCTGGTCAAGAACATCTCCTGGGGGTTTTGTCCTTGAGGCAGAGCAGGTCACTAGTTTGGCCATTTCATCCCTTTCTTGGCCATGGCCAGCTCTGTGTCTGAGGCTCCAGGTGTCACAGAGGCAAGAATAGAAGCAACACAGACCAGTTGCACATTGACTCTGTCCCCACACATGGGGATTTCTGGAAATGCTGTTATTTTCCTTCCATAGAGAGCTGGTTTCAGCAGCCATATGCAGTTCCCTTTACCCTTTCTTCTTCCTGGAGAGCGATCACAATGAGTTAGTGAAGCAGCCTATCTGAGACTGTAAAGATGGCATCTCCATGACAGAGGCTGAAGAGAAAGATGCCCTAAGTCTGTGCCCTGTGACATCACTGAGACTCTTTTCAGACTTCTCATTCAATGATAAAATTGGTGCCTGTTTCTGGAGGTGTGGTGACTGTAAAGAAATCCTCAAGGAAGCTAGGGTGTGAGAGTCAACATTTCTTTACATTTTGTCCTTGTTGCCATAGGAACACAACCTCTGTGGTCCTCCCAACACCCTGTGATGTCAAGCGTATACACACCCATCTTGCAGGAATGGAGGTAGAAATCCCAAGAGATGTCAGTTTCTACAGACTCACAGTTAGTAAGGGTCAGGAACAGACTTGTGTCTAGAGCCTCGAGGGAAACTTCTACTTTGGGGGGAGGAGGGACAAATGGCAGCTGAGTGGGGTCCTTAGGTTAAAAAGTTGCAAAGCTCTCTTGAAAACAAATCAGTGAAAATTAGAAGTAGAGCATGGTGGAACACGCTCGGCCCTGGGAGGGGGCTGGGAAGATGAAGGGCCTCTTATCTCCATGGGAAATCAGCCTCTGTTCAGCCTCTGTTGTTAGGAACAATCATTTTCTAGCATCCTGTTTCACTCCTGCATGAAAAACCTACTACAGTGGAATCCAGAAAAAGAGATTTCAGGCACTTTTGGGGAATTCCAAATCGACTTCTATTTTCTCATGACCTTTACTGACTTTAATGTCAGCCGGTAGGTGGTTTCTATAGCCTGCTCTTCGCAAATTGGGGGTATGGCTGAGATGAAATATTGGTACAGTGTAATGGTGGTCAGGAGCCCTGTCTCTGGAATATCCCTCCTGAGGCATCAACCTGAACCCAGTAATTTATCAGTTCTATGAACTTATAGCTCAGTTTTCTTATCTGGAAAATGGTTGCGGTACCTTCAGGGATTTTGTACAAAAAAATCTTTAAAATTACCCATGTTAAATATTTGCTAGCATTTTTTTAAAAAAGGGTTATTTATCACCCCTGGTCCTGTTGTTTACTATGTGTGCGATGCTAGGAAAACAATTCTGTGGTCTTCAATCTCCTCATCCATAGAATAATGGGATGCATGAATTTTCTCTCACAATATCTGATTGAGAAGTGGAAAATTCCATACCCTGCCCCGCCCACATCTACACGTATTCCTAAGGTCCCAGACTGTTGTTTTGTTCACATCT